CAGTAACCAACAGAGCCACACGTGCACTCGCCACCACGCATTCTTCACAAAGTCTGTAAAATCACAGCCTGTAACTTCTGAATATGTCAAAGAGGTATCAGCGGAAATAACCACTCACTCTTCCGCTGTAAGGATGAACATTCGATGTTGGGTAGAAGTACGTTCTGGAGAGACAATATTTAGTTCATCAGCTATGACGTCACTCATAGCCACATCAACCATTTCTTGGGTTATTTCCTGGGCCGCTTCTAACTCATCACTTCCCACCAGCTTCCTTTGGCAGTTGGAACTGTAATGAGACAGTACTCAACCTCATTCATGCCTAAGTTTTTCACGACTACCCTGAAGGGTTTCGAAACAGCAAACAAAAATAAATTACCTCAGATGGGAACGATATAAATCGATCGTTTTCAGGTAAAAGATCCAGGAGGGTAGACGCTACAGCAAGTGCGTCGCGTCGTTTCCGCAATAATTCCGGTGTCTGTTCGGCTTGAGTACGCAGAACAAAGGCGTATTCATACTGAGCGCGTGCAGCTAAAACAAGGTATATCAAAGAGTAAACAGGATTAGACGACAGAGCTCGCTATTACGAGGGTGGGAGGGCACACGGTGGGCTGACTAGCCCCTTGCCCTTTCCAAGCCTTGGAGTAACGCAGGCGACCAGAGTCGGTGCAGCCTAGCCTCTCAGGTAAGGGATAGTCGCACTTCCGAGCTGTCAATAGTCGGCCCGGCCCGTACCCTCTTCCCCTAAACTACGCTTCTAACCTCGCTCTTCCACTTTGGCAGCTATTTTTTCGAGAAACACCACGCATTCCAAATCGGAACATTACTTACCAGCTTCAAAATCGTTCCTTTTCATGTAGAAAGAAAACACCAGCTTGAATAGGTGGTTCGGAGCTGTTGCTTCTTGAGCGCGTGCGGATGTGAGCAGGGTGCGCTCTACCTTAATCAAGAAACATTCGAGAACCCCAGCGAGCCAATGTTCATCGATGGAAAAAATGAACTTTGGTGCCCACTACTAGTCCCACGCCCTATCAGATCTCAACATTCTGAAACTCACCTCCTCTTCTAGCTTGCCATAATTCAAATCCACGATGGACTGCCAGTCGTTAGCGTGCAACATGCGCTTGATCAGCTCACCGAGAGCCATTCGTTTGACTTCTGGATCCTACACGAATATGCGTCAAAAAAGCTGATGATACAAGCGATTTTTTTGAAAATAAGAAACTGATAATAGGCCGAAGAAAAGTGAAAAGTGACAAGAAGTGACGTAGTTTAGGAGTAAAACACGACATTCCGGTCATCTACTGTTTTCTTATTATGAGCGTGAAAAAGAAACGGTCTCTGTCACTGTAACAGGCGGCGCAGACGAACAATCACACCCTCCACTTGGCTTCTGGTTCAGTGTCAGGATATCTGTTCAACAAAATAAGGGGGATGAGGGATGATAGAAGGAGGAAATTAATGGAAGGAAGGTGGAAAGGAAATTGTGAAATCTCGCTTCCTCAGTTTCCTTTCCACCTTTCCTTCCATTAATTTCCTCCTTCTATCATCCCTCATCCCCCTTATTTTCGTCCCTATTATTTCTCGAAATACGGACCAGAAGAGGCAATGAGGAAATACTCGTGGACACTCACAGCGAACGAATTAGACAGAAGCCCTGTAACACTCCTGCCCTCCCCCTGGTACTGTATTCCCGCTTTCTTCCTTCACATTATAAATTTAGTGCGAAATCTTACAGAAGAGGCAGCCTTCTTAGTACGACCTTCTGTATTTCAGCAATTGTGCAATACATATGAGAAGTGCAAGCTAGAGGAACTGCGTCCAATGGTGACATTTAACAAAGCCATAGCCTACTCTGGACTAGGTAAACCGTTGAAGGTAAAGTGTAATTGAGGAGTTTAGTGCCATGTTGAGTGACGGTGGCGTTCGCATTTTTTCTTAATGCTTTTAATTTAGGCAATGGCCGCTTTTAATGCAGCCGCCCGAGCTGTCACCGACGGGAACGAAGCACTTCTCTTGGCGCTGGCGTCTTTTGAAAAGAAATCTGAAGAGATGAATCTCGGCGACTACTATGTCGTCGTAAGCAAT